TTATAGAACAATATGTATCCATACCGGGAAACAGTTAATATACATACCTTAACGTGGTTATCGTCAACCAAAAGCAGTCCGGCGTGTAGTCCGCTCCATCACCATTGACAGGTACGGTGCTCAGTCTCTATGTTTCCCACTTTTCGTGTCCGTCCAAGCTTACTTCCTATAACCACCTCCCCTAACACTCGCCTACATTCGATCGAGAATTGTGAGAATACCACCAGTATAACGCTTAAACTGTGTGCCCTGCTCTGTCTTCCACGTGGGCTCTATCCATTGATCTCCTTAGTTCAAAATCTTACAATGCGAGCTAGATCGATATGTTTGTCTCATAGATGACTTCATTCTCCTGACGATAATTGTTAACTAGTGTAATGTGGCTCTTGAGTGTGTCGCATACAGACAAATATGCTATTGATGTGTGTCCACAAGTTTGCGCAAAGTGTGAAGCAGGCAGCAGTAGTAAGCGTAAATAAAGTATTTAGTGTGGAAAACATATTTTTAAATACAGCGTAGTGCAAGAGACCTAAGACAGTCTCTTGGTGTAGTGTATTAAAATACCGAAAGTGACGTTTCGTTGAATAGGGGGTTTTAGGTGAAAGTTCGCATGTATTACATACACAGCCTCCTAAAAAAGAAACATATTAGTGTCATAGCCTTCTGTGAACACTTAAGTATAGATAAATACATAACAACTAGTTAACTAGGTACAATCTTATTGAAGGTATTTAGGTTACCGAACAATTTTGGTTTGTTTGGTAAAGTAGTGCGTGCTGTCATATACAGTGGATGATAAATAGAACCCCTGCAGACTTCAGTCCTTCCAGGCTTGACGCCTTCACCCCTACTACTAGTCCTGAACTCCTGACGATTTTCTGGACATTCGCTACGCTTAGGGGGACAGGCTGATACCAGGAATAGGCGGACTCTTCTAAGAGTCATCAGAGAGTCAGTGAAGCCACACTCAGACTCACAGACTCACAGCTCTGTACGAGAAGCAGGAATTTTTCAGGAGAAAGAACGAGGCCATTTTCCTGGGCCCAGCCCATACATAGTAGGGGACCAAACTCAAAAGTATTTCCAAAAAAAAATACTTCAAAACAAAGATAGCAACATATTGTGGCACCTCCCATACAACAGTCAACAGAACGGATAAGCACAGCTGACGTCGGGTGAGTATATCGAGACAGCTATTACAATGCAGCAGAGGCAGAGAGCTCTGGCGGAATACTTCAAGGGCACGTGGAACTACACACGGGTTATCACCAGCACAAAGTCCACGGTAAGTGTAGTACAATGTGTTTTAGTATATTGTGCATAGGTAGGTGTAGTACAGTGTGTGTTAGTATATTGTGTATACAATCATCGACCTACTGTACGCTTGCACGGATATGTATCTGTAGTCGATGCGTACTCAAATGAAGTTCGTATATATAAGCGTGCAAGCCTTTCACATCAGGCATAGGCTCACACAAACCCTTAATTACATTGTGCTCCGCATTTCTGATTCCGGTTTAACTTGTATCCGCATAAGTTATAACCGGGCAGTCGGCAGTTTATATTCAATTGTCTGTACAAAATATATTGACCAAAGTCATATTCTGAGTGTTTTGTCTATTATTGGTGAATACACTAGAATGCGCTACAATTGATTATAAACCTCCCTATTGTAGACAGAGGTCTTTGGAAATGGGTCTGGTATTGCCTCGTGGCGAGAAATGAGTAACCTCCCAAGTGGCATTCAGCAAACCGGCGTTGCAGAAGCTAAGGTGGGTCTGACAGAAACAACCGTAAAATATAGGCTGTACGTGTATCCTGTGGCTTATATATATATATATATATAATATATATAATGTACCATTCTGAGTCG